TGGGCCGCCTGCACTGCCTCTCCCCGCGGCCGGAGCGGTGACAGGTCTCTGCTGACCAGTGTTCCCCACTCCCGGCTTGGGTGCCCAAATACAAGGAAATGGGGAGCGGACACGAGGTGAAGCACTGTCCTCGTGGACGGGAAGCGCTATGGAGAAACGCTCCCACAACCCTGCGCAGTGCCCGCCTGGTACCTGGCAGGGTCTGGAGGTAGGGCTGGAGATCACGGCGCACAGACTGGACCACGGTCTCGCAGACCTGCGGGCGAGAATGGCAGCGAAGCTGAGCAGGGGCAGCTCTCCTGCCTCAGCCGTGGGCTCTGCTGTGCTGCCCGGTGCCGTTCTGAGCCCGTGCGAAAGCCTGCTCAAATGGAAGGGCACAGTGACACTTGTCTCTGCCCATCAGGCAGCACATTAATTAAGTGTCCAAGATACAGGAAAGGTTTACACCTGCAAACATGTGCTTACAGCAAGCTCCCCGTGCACAGTTCGGCTGCATCGAGGCCCATGGAAGGAATCTCACGTGTGCCCTCAGACTGTTCCTACCTGGGATGAACGGTGCTCAGCAGCCCAGTCTTGGCTGACGTGCAGCAACTGAAAGGGTTAACCCACCCCGCAGGGCCAGCAGCACTGGATGCACCGACAAAGCAGAGTTATCCCAGCTCCCACGGAGGAGAGGAGCAAATCCCTCTGCCACTGTCATCCACTGGCGAAGCCTCAGCATTACCGGGGGATTTAATTGCAGCCTAAACACTGATCCAGGAAATTTACTGCAGGGCACGGTCCTGCAGACGGCTGAGATAATCTGCATGAGCTCTCTTCCAGGGCTTTGCCCATTATGGCACAGAAGCTGCCAGGCAGGATCAGGGCATCGTCTGTCTGTCCGGGCATCCAGCCCGCGGCAGCTGACAGCGAGATGCGGTGGAAGAGCAGCAACCACGCTGGCAGCAACGCGGCCACGGGCTGTGCCGTGCTGGGGAGGAAGAGGAGGGACAGAACCTTGGGCATGGCCTTGTCGCAGAGGGTTGCTGCTCTTCCCTGTGCCCAGCCGATATTCATCTGTCTCTGCTGGAAAAGCCCCATCGCTGCCTGCGAGCACCGAGCAGCAGACGGGCAAACGCAGCCCTGACCCCAGGGAGCAGGATCTCCCCGGGAGTGGGATCTCGCTGGCACGGGGGGCACGAGGACTGCTCAGCCCCTGCCCTCTCCTGCCCATCACTCCTCATGCCAGCTCACACGTGGAGTAAGACACTGCGCACCATGCACTGGGCAAAGGGGGCTCGGACACGCTGCAGGAGGGGCAGAGGCAGCAGAGATCCCCTCGGAGTCCCCGAGCTGCCCTCCTTCCAGGAGGCAAAACAGCAGAAAAGGCCTTTGAGCCCCAGCTTCGCTGCTGCTGCCAGCCCATCTGCTGCCATGGTGCCCAGGGGCCTTGGGAAAGCCACTACCTGGCATCGGGAATAGCGCCCGGGCAGGGTGGGATCTGCTGCGGGAGTGGGATTTGCCTGTTCTCCAACTGCCTCCTTCCTGAGCAAGGTTCACAGCCAGGGAGGCTGTAACTCGTGCCAGTTGGCCTTGTAGTAATTACTGCTAACAGCTTGTTCCTGTGTCCTGTCGCAGCTCTCCTGCATGTA